AAGAAAAGGATGTGAAAAAGCTTAGAGCCTCTGGCCATTGCCATGGTGAAATATGTCTTAAAGTTTGAGGCACAAGCTAGTTTCACAGAGGATGGTTTATTAAGCAATTATAACGAAGTTGTGGGTGCTTGAGAAATTCAGATGATCAATGCCTTATATATACTTGTTTGATGGGAAGTTATATATAGAAAAGTTCAATAAATTTAGACTGCTTCAAACATTTTGGGTTGTACAGTTTTCTATTCTTACGATTTTTAAGGGCATAACCACCAATCATTCCTGCTGTTCACGCATGTGTGCCAATGATTTTTATGACACTCAGTTTTATCTTAATAAGTTTTCTTTTTCAATAAATATATTTTCTTATTGAAATACTATTTTTCTCCTTATAATTTTTTTTTATTTATTTTGGTCTATAAACTTTTAAAATATTCATTTTGATTTATGTACTTTCAACTTGGATTCGTTTAGCCTATAATGATTTATGTACTTTCAACTTGTGTTCGTTTTAGCCTATATATTTTTCTAAAACGTTCATGTTGCCATGTAGTTTTAAAAAGTGATCATCTTCATCCCTTCATTTTTCTTTTTTATCTCATTTCTTTCGATCACAATTTTAACATGATAATTTACCCACTAAATTTGACACTTAATAAAAATTTCTTAGATGCGACCATAAATTTATAATTTGTATTAAAAAGTTTCCATTATACGTATGTATAATTTATGTTAACATCTTAAGAATACAACCCTCCTCGGCCACACCACATTGCCAATATATGTTTTTCTTTCAACCTATATTCTATCATTTATAAAAATTAAACAAATTATAGACATCAAACCGAAATTAAAATGTTTTCCTCAGAGGTTTTGTTGGGATTGCATTGCGTTAGATTAATCCACTTGTTTAAGTTATAAATTTATCTAATTTAAACAAATACTAATTAGATGATGGGCTCGATCTAGTCTTAAAATATACAAGTTTGGTTAATATTGGGGTTATAAGGAGTGCAAACAAAGTCCCACATCGACTACGGAATGAGTGATTCATGGTATATAAGAGATGACAAATTATCTCCATAAGACTTTGGGCAATATCAAACCATTGTGGAGATACTCGGGATACTTGGATACCATTGTCCTTAACAGTTAATTGGTTCGAGAATTTGAAACTCCGACCTCAACTGATTGTAGATGAATCTATTTATCGCTAGCATTTAAAAGTGGGATTATTGTGGAATGGTGAACTTGTACTTAAAAAAAAACAGAAAAATAAGAACTTGCTAACAAAATTTCAATGTTACTCTTTTAACAAATTTAATATTCGATTTTCATATGTCTATGGTGTCTTTCTAACACAATCAAACTCTATCTAATATTTTGTAAAATTGATTAGTTTAACACAGCAATTTTTCTTTTTGAATTATACCATATTTTTGTAATAAGAATACAAGTTGTTATAATACATGTCTCTTAAACAAATAAATTTGGAGTAGCGTAATAATAAAATTGAAATTGAAATTAAAAAGCTAAATAAATTATCTTTAAAAAATTATAAATTATCAATCTTAAATGGTGTAAATTTTAATGATATGTCTATTTTAACTATTATAGCTAAATAAGGGTAATTTAGCAGAAACTATAATATGTTTTTTCATATTTAAATTCGTTGAACCAAATCAGTCAGTTCGACTGGATTCGGTTAAAATTCCTCCATTTTCTCAGTTTCATGGACATCGTACCCTTTATTTATTAGATTATTCTAGACTTCACATAAATTTTTTTTTATTTTTAATCTAAAAAGATGCTCTCAAAACTTCAGAAATCTTAAAATTTAGTCTTTTGTTATCATGATTTTGGAATGAGTATGATTTAAGTAGTTGAGGGACTAAGTTAAAATCTTTACGAAAAAGATGTTTTAATCATTACAATTTCGRCTTAAAAAATTGGAAGGATGATTGCTTTACCAAAGTATCGCAACAAAAATACCCAGGTAAATTAAATTTACCACATCATTTAGGTTTAAATACTAATACTAGTGTGGTCCATGTACTTTTTTTTTGTTTTTTTTCATGGACTCTGCATCGGTGTTCCTGCAGTGGGACCCTGCACCGGACTTGCTCCTATTGCGATCGGACCCTCAGCCGGACTGGCTGCTCCTCCAGCTGGACCCTCAGCCGGACTGGCTGCTCCTCCAGCTGGACCCTCAGCCGGACTGGCTGCTCCTCC